CACGCACGCACACACACTCACACACTCACACACTCACACACTCACACACTCACTCACTCACACACTCACGCACTCACACTCACTCACTCACTCACACACACACTCACACACTCACTCACGCGCTCGCTCGCTCGCTCACTCACTCACGCACTCACACTCACTCACTCACACACTCACTCACGCACTCGCTCGCTCGCTCACTCACTCACTCACACACTCACTCACGCACTCACACACTCACTCACGCACACTCACTCACGCACTCACACACTCACTCACTCACTCACTCACTCACTCACTCACTCACTCACTCACTCACTCACTCACTCACTCACTCACTCACTCACTCACTCACTCACTCACTCACTCACTCACTCACTCACTCACTCACTCACTCACTCACTCACTCACTCACTCACTCACTCACTCACTCACTCACTCACTCACTCACTCACTCACTCACTCACTCACTCACTCACTCACTCACTCACTCACTCACTCACTCACTCACTCACTCACTCACTCACTCACTCACTCACTCACTCACTCACTCACTCACTCACTCACTCACTCACTCACTCACTCACTCACTCACTCACTCACTCACTCACTCACTCACTCACTCACTCACTCACTCACTCACTCACTCACTCACTCACTCACTCACTCACTCACTCACTCACTCACTCACTCACTCACTCACTCACTCACTCACTCACTCACTCACTCACTCACTCACTCACTCACTCACTCACTCACTCACTCACTCACTCACTCACTCACTCACTCACTCACTCACTCACTCACTCACTCACTCACTCACTCACTCACTCACTCACTCACTCACTCACTCACTCACTCACACACACACTCACACTCGCTCGCTCACTCACTCACGCACTCACACACTCACTCACTCACTCACTCACACACACACTCACACTCGCTCGCTCACTCACTCACGCACTCACACACTCACTCACACACACACACAATCACTCACTCACTCGCTCACTCACACGCTCACTCACTCACACGCTCACTCACACACTCACATTCACTCATGCGCTCACTCACACACACACACACACTCGCTCACTCACACACACACGCTCGCTCGCTCACTCACTCACTCACACTTGACTGATTGCACAGACACTATTGGAAGAGAGCTGAACTGAATCATCACTGAATCATCAATGAACTGACTTTAGCTGGAAAAATGACTCTTTGTTGTTGTCTTCTTGCATTATTGACAAACTATGTTCCTGTTTAACACTGCAAAGCTGCTTTGATACAATCGGTACTGTATAAAGTGCTATAGAAATAAAGGTGACCTGACCAGACTATTATAATAACTCTGACGATATCAAATACGAGTGCGACAGGTAGACAGGTGAATGAATTGATGAATGGGTCACGCTTACTGTTGTGCCTCCAGGAACAGGGTTGTGAAACACTTGACTAGATGACCTATAACAGCCGATGGAGAGCATTATAGTTTAGCTCTTCTTTTACTCAGCCCATCAATCTATAGACCACATAGACATAATTTGTGGACAACACTGGCAAATATAAGTGCAACAAATCACATGCATTTAATGCCTCTGCTAAAAGTGGATATGTATTTCAGCAAAATGTACACATTAATTCACATTAATCTTACAGTCTTGTGTATTTTCAAAATGATCATCACTATGTGTAGGACCCTGGAGAGTTAATAATTTGACATTTGTGTGATGCAGACAGCAGTGAAGAGAAGGAGCAGCTCCGGGAGGCGTTGCTTTCTGGGCGTGTCCGTCTGCAGCAGGCGGAGTTAGAGGCGGAGCAATGGAAGGAGGAGTTGAGGAGGCTGCAGACACACAACTGTGAACAAAGCCAACAAATCCAGCAGCTGCGACAGGACAGACAAAACAGTCAGGAGCACAACAACAGGTCAGAGAAGCCATATGAACAGCTTCATGTAAAGAAAGTTGTTTCAATAGGCAATTTCTGATCACTGTGATCTGTTTCTTACTGATAAGTGTGACACATGAATGAAGGCTGTGTAACTG